TCAACATTCTATCAATCCAAGCCTTGCCCGAGCTCCCTCTTTGTGCCAGGGATGTTGCCGCTGAAACAGGGACAGATCACACACTTTCACGTGTCCGTTCCTGGGTTTTGTCCGGTTGGCCTGAGCACTGCCCTAGTCCTGAGTTTCAGAGTTTCTGGTCCAAAAGAAACGAGTTGTCCCTTTCTCAGGGTTGTCTGCTTTGGGGAAACAGAGTTGTCATTCACACCTCAATGAGGACTAGGGTCTTAGAATCCCTCCACGAGGGTCATCCTGGCATTGTTCGTATGAAGGCTCTTGCACGCAGCCACTTGTGGTGGCCTGTTTTAGATCAGGATATTGAGGCTCAGGTGCATGCATGCCACCTGTGCCAACGATCTCGCCCAGAGATGCCCCAAGCTCCCGTGCATAAATGGGAGGAAACGCAGTCCCCATGGTCTAGGGTGCACATTGACTACGCTGGGCCCGTTCAGGGCCAGTTCTTCTTGGTCCTTGTTGACAGCCATTCAAAATGGCTTGAGGTTGTACCTGTCTCTTCCACACACTGCAAAGACTAGTAGGGTACTGAGGGGGATTTTGCTTGCACACGGGCTTCCAGAATGTCATCGTGTTGACAACGGCCCTCCACTTCACTCTGCATAAATTCCAAGCTTTCTTTACGAGGCTAACAGGATTCGTCATGCCACGTCTGCACCCTTCCACCCGTCCACCAACGGTATGGCTGAACGTATGGTGCGCATCACAAAGGACGCATTGAAAAGACTCACCTACGGGGACTGGCATCACAGGTTGGCTGACTTTCTCCTTTCTTATCGCACAACACCGTCCACTTCTACAGGGAGAAGCCCAGCTGAACTTCGTTGGGGGCGTCAACTTACTACTAAACTTGACCGGTTGCATACGGACAGACTGCCTTCATCTACCTCACATCCTAGGGCACCTAGACAACTACTTGAGGGTGCCCCGGTCTGGACTCGCAATTACGGGCCTGGTCATACATGGGTCCCCGCTTCTGTCTCCAGGGTCACGGGTCCTCTATCCTACGAGGTGCCCCCTGGACAAACGGTCGTGTCCTGGTCGGCAAATCGACCAACTTCGCTCTAGGCGAGACTTTTCTGCTGAGACTCCTGGGTCTTTTCCAGGGGGGGAGGGGGACCCTTTGGAGCAAAGGGAAGGGCAAGAGCTACTGCCCACCTCCACTGAGGGAGCCACAAACGGCTCGTCCCAAGGTTCTGCAATTGCTCCGAAAAGAAAGTCATGGAGCTTACCCACACAACAGGCACTCACGCCTACTCCAGCAACGGAGGATACCCGGGGGCATCCCAACAAATCATTCCCCGCAAGAGAACTGGCACACAATTCCCAAGGTTGGCCTGACCTTACCCCAAATCCTACAGGGGGTCAAACATACACAGAGCTAGTCGAGGAACCAAGTCCCGACTACAACAACCCTAGCACAAATCAGGGAACACCTGAGTTTTGGGAAAGTACAGAAACACACACGAGCCCGAACACAGAATGGGGTTCAGGGAATGGACAGCCTCCTGACAGGTCTTGGACTGACCTAGGAGGTTCTACAGAGACGCCCAGCAGCGGCTATCACTTCAAGGGGCCTGAGGGTCTACAGCTAGGTAGGTCAACCAGGTCACACAGTAACAGAAGCCCTGGCCTGACGAGCCCGGGGGGCAAGCAAGCAGGCCAGGCATCGGGGCACAGTCCTTGGAAGACACCAGGACACAATAGAGAGAACAGGCTCACGCCTCCCTCCAGTCAGGGGACTTATGCCAGTAATCCAGAGCTAAGAAGGTCACAGAGAGCAAAGAAATCTCCCAAGTACCTAGAAGACTACATAACATTGCTGGCAAAGCAAAAGCCAGTAAACAGTGGGAACATTGGGGAGCAAAATGTCGTATAAAATAAATGTTGTATGTTGGTAGTAGTTTTAGCCCGGGGAAAAGGGGTGTTATGTCCCGAGCCTTTGCAAACGGCTCGGGCGTTTGCAGGCAGTCCCGGGCAGGTGCAAAGCTGCCCGGGACCAGACAGGCTGTCGCCAGCGCCGTGCGCATGCGCGGGTGCTGGCGCGGGAAAAAGTAACCCATTTCCCCGGGAGTTGCCTATATAAGAGGCTGCGAGGCGTTTGGGCGAGGCTGAAGCCATCTTCCTGTAAGCTGAACGCTGAATAAAAGAAACTGAGAACTCCAGCTGCTTCTCGTGTCTGTTTCCCGCCAAGGACGCAACAAGATGGTTTTTTAATTGCTCATAGTTAAGGCCTTGTTAATGTCTGGGTGGTATTCAGGGGAGAAGAATTATAAAAACTTCATTATAAAAAAATAAAATCAGCTGGTTCACAGGAACATTATTACTGTTATAAATCAAGGAAACTAAAACATTAAATTGATTATAATACTCTCAGGTTCAAAAACATATTGTAGTTCAGACAATTTATATTTTTTTGCCTCCTTAAAATACAGTGGTTGCTGGTGAAGGAAGATGAAGGGTCCTATAAAAGTTAACTATTGTCCCAACATTCCAAGGGTCTACCTACTCTGATATAGAGTTTATAGTCTTGTCTATTGGGACAATAGAGTGGGTAAAATGCTAATTTCTTTTTAATGAGACATTTAACAGTGTCAAAATCAACATCAAAGATATTGTTCAGGAGAGACAAATTGAAGCTTGGTGATTGGTACAGGCTTAGTTACACAACGTGCTAAACTCTTGAATATTGGAAATTATTGATGCATTGGCCAATAAAATATTTGAATATTGACTATTCAGGCAATGAATTATATTGTAAAAATATGGAAGTAAGGCTAGCCAATGGCATCTTATTTTCTCCAAATATATTATTTGTGTTTTCTGATTTTCCAGCACCAGCTCAGAAGGTATGTGTGTATTGGATGTACAATCTGAACAAACTGTTACAAATCCTAGCTGTCATTTTCTGGCCGAAAAGTGCAGGAATGATGAACAAGTCCATTTCATCCATAATGGACCTTGCGGTGATGACACCAGGTTGACCTGGGCTATTGAGAGAGCAAATCTTTCAGCAAACAGCAGAAAGAAAGAGCTGTGTGGATATGACATATGCTATGACTGGGAAAGATGTTCAGGTAGGTCTCTTGAACACTTCAATCTTTGATTTGTAAAGTTGGTTTTATAAATATTTTTTAAAAGTTAATGCATAAAAAGTCTCTACATAATTCTGGTTATGGAGATATATAAATACTCATTGTTCACATAAGTCAACTTCTATTAATACAATGGCAGTATGTGATGCCCCCTTGCAGATCTTGGAAGCTGCAATCTACAGCTTCTGTGTGGTAGGCCTTGTACAGTTTCTTCCATTCTCCTAGTGAATTGACAAAATATTAAAACAGTGTTCTGAATAAAGTATCAGTTTTAGGTTGTCTTTGTTGGTGACCTGTTAATGCACTGTAGTAGGGTCATATTCTTTTAAATTTCATGCAGTCCTGAAGCTTATGAGATGATGAATGAGAGAAAGCTTGATCTTTCTATATAATGATGCAATTGACAGACCTATTTTTGAAAAAGGCACTTTTGAATATTGCTGTAACACAATACAGCTCTGGAATAAAGAGTACTTTGATGACTTATTTAGGATTTGGGTGGTCACATGACAGCCAATGAAAGACATTTACTGAAGACCGCTGAGTGCAGCCCTCTGCATATTTATGGGAGAATCAACACACATTAACTCCAAAAAGCTTTAGTGACGAGCAGGAAAAATGGGTAGAATTATGTTGCTGTCCTCTGAGGCTTCTTAAAAGCATAGTATCAAACAGTCCCCTTAGCTGTGTCCTTTATTTATTTCGCTTTCTTTAGAAAAGATTAAAAAAATATGTGGTTGTGAAATATTCCTGAAAATGACTGCCCAGATTCCTGTTTGTTATGCAACTTGTTTTTCACTGTGCGGTAGGATGATAGTAATTGTGAGCTTTCCTGTAAATTGCCTTGGCAGAGATTCCTACAGAAAAAAGCTTTGGCTTGTCTGGTTAAAATATGCCTTGTCTGGTTAAAGTTAAAATTTCTACCTCCTTTGCTCTTGCTTTAAACCTCACTATTTAGACACAGAATCTATTTTATATCTGCTCCTAAAGAATGGTTGGTAGGGTTGTTTCACCTTACATTGAGACAGGGAAACAAAGAAATTGCAAGTTTAAGCTTTAATTTAAAACATCTAGTAAGAAAGTGTAGAGGTAGTTGTTGATGAAATAAAATTAAAACTCCCCAGTTCTATCACATCTTCATCACTCTGAACAAAAACACGTACAAACTAAAAATGCCAATCTTATCTAAGTTGTATGATATAGCTCTACATACTCATCATCCATCTGCTGAGGACTTCTTTTGCCACTCCTGAAAAAACTAAATGTGGATCTTGGCTTCAAAACCTTATCGCAATACTCGGCATATAATTTGAAAGAAAAACCCCAAACCCTGAGCAACTTCTATTACAAGGGTAGTTTTTTATAAACCTATGACAAAAAAGTGGTCATTATAGATCAAGAATCAATTCTTGTTAAGAAAATTTATTTCAGTCTTATGATGATTATTGCAAAATAGGTAGGTTTTCCTATACAGTATTTAGATATAGGTGCATATCAAATGAAAACACACACAAACACACACACACACACACACAATACTAAAGTACAGGTAGTCCACAAAGTACGACCATAATTAAACTCAACATTTCTGTTGCTAAATGAGACAGATGTTAAGTGAATTTTGCCCCATTTTATAACATTTCTTACCACAGTTGGTTGGTGAATCACTATAGTGATTGTTACGTTAGTAAAACAGTTATTAAGTTAATCTGACTTTCCCATTGATTTTGCTTGTCAGAAGGTTGCAAAAGGTGAACACATGATCCTGGACACTGCAACCATCATAAATATGAATCAGTTGCCAATTGAATTTTGATTATATGATTGAGCAGATGCTTCAATGGTTGTAAGTGTGAAAAATGGTCAAAGTCACTTTTTTCAGTGTCATTGTAACTTTGAATGACGACTGAATGAACTGTTGTATGTTGAGGACTACCTGTAAAACTAAATGATGAGCTGATCTCACATTTTTATCTATTTACAGAAGAAAGATTGCACTGTACCTGCCTGCTTCCAAATCAGTGTACAAAGGGTGAAGAAGAGCTCTATTGCATTAAATTCGGGTCTAGAAACCAAAGGAGGACATTAACCCTCTGTGCACTTGGAGCAATGAAGTGTGCCAACGTGAAGGCAATGGTGTTGCATCCTGGGAATTGTGTGTCATAAAATGAGATGGCAAACATATATCTGATGTATTCAGTCCTATTTCAATCACTGTTCAAAATAAATTCATTGAATTAAAATGTTGGTATAAGAACTGAATTTTGTTTAATTGTTTCAGTTTAATCTACATAAAATTAATGAATCTCAGCACTTTGGGAGTTTTGAGAACAAGTGGCAACATTCATAATATAGCTACCATGAGAGCTAACTTAGGCATAGTATATAAGGATGGGCATCGACATTACAAAATACCTCAAAGTCAAACTGGGCGCCTTAAAAATTTTGTATCTTAGAGATTTGCTATTTCCATATAAGCCATACATGAGATATTTCACTCCAAAAGCAGGTAAGAATAAGGGCCATATCCTCTTCCTAATGCTGCAGTTATAGTATCCCGATAACTTGAAATGCCTTGTACCACATATGTTAGAAATGAGTAAGATTGGAATTACTGAAGTGGAGCAAACACAGAGGAAAGAACTGTATATTTGAGAAATTGGCTGGCTTTTGGCAAGATGATACCTCTAATGTGCCTAAAATTGTGAAGTCATGAGATTAATACAGTAGTAAGTGTATTTTTTTCTTTTAATAATAGTAATGGGTCATGTTATTCCTTGTATGCTGAATTTGGGTTCCTCAAATGTACTGATAATTTGAAATCATCTAGTAAATAAAAATCTACTTTGTGTTGTCATGTTATCATTGGCTATGATGGCTGGAGATAGCAGCACCCAGAATTAGCAGCAGGTTGGATAAATCTATAACAGGGGTCTCCAAACTTGGCAACTTTAAGACTTGTGGATTTCAACTCAACAGAATTCCTCAGGCAGCCATTACATTAAAGTTGCCATGTTTGAGAACCCTGGTCTATAGGAAGATATGGAACAGACCAGGGAAAGAGGCCAAGAGAAAAATTATACTAGAAGCACTGTTGTCTGGAGCTCTGTGATGACAGGTTTCCTAGTTGTGAGTAGGTACACAACGTACAGCATCATATGTACTATTCTTATCATGTAAGCACAAAGCATTTCTCTTCACTGCAAGAGAAAAAGGGAGAAATAAAAGGCCATAATTTTGGTGACCAATTGAGTGCACTTTCAAAAAGCCCAACAAGTCCACCCCACTCATGCCAGCAGAAAAGGCCTGCTGTAGATCCCATCTGCCAAGGAATTGAAGCAGACGGGGTCAAGGAGAAGAGCCTTTTCCACTCTAAGAACTTCCTCCTCGCTTTTGGCCTTCTGAAAGGGTAGTAAAACCTGGCTTTGCTGGTGGGCCTGGAGCCCCCAGGGGCACACTCACTGCTGGAGGTGGCTGACAGGGTAAGAAGACCTCATCCTTGGCCATCCATCCATCTCTTAGTTCTCTTACTTGCGGTTTTAGTACAGTTCTTAATAAAATCTCTGTGTCTTTTAAATTTTTTAATATTGGAACTATTTTTATTTGTTTTATAACTTGTAAGCAACCCAGAATCACCTTGTAGGGGCATAAAAAAATAAATAAATGATAAAAATTAAATTCCCACCACCTGTATGCATTTGTTAAGTCCAATTTTCTCCCTGTGGACATACAGTATACAGATTTTTATTATCATTCCTTTGGTTCTGCACATTTATATCCCTTTTGAAGAGAACTAACTTATTTTTCCGCATCCAGTTCCTTGAATCTCTTCCTCCCATCTGTATTTCTGGACCAATTTGCCTCTAGTTAATTGCATGAGCCAATTACCAGTGAACCGAATATTAATCTCTACTGGTCACTTTCAATCTGTTTCTTAACATCTTAAAAACAAAACAAAACAGCTCCCCAGTTTGATTTCCCTTCCTTGTAAGAGGAGTGTGGCAGCATTACAGAAATTAAATTGAAAGTGTACCCTTGATTTATAATGGACTCTATTGTACAGAGAAGCTTTATTTGCCTTTAAAAGAAATCTGTGATAAAAACAGCTAGGGAGGAAAATTGCATAAGGGTTGGTGAAAGTGAACATCATGTGCTTTTGAGAGTGAATTAGTCAGTTCCCTGATGAATATAACAGCCATATAGATCCAGTAAATTCAGTAGAAAATAAAATCAAGGGTATGCATTATTCAAGTGGAAGTGGTGATCTAAAGGTACAGGCAGCTCTGCATTTTTCTTACTAAACAGGAAGTGCAACAGTATTGGTATGAATCATTTTGAGCAAGGAATAGCCAGCCCAAATGTCCCATGCACAAAACAAAAGCATGAAAAGAAAACAACCAAGCTCAGAGAGCATCAAAGACCCCACAAATAAAAACATGATTTGGTTCATTTAAGAACCAAAGCAAGGTTGTTTTGTTTTGGATACAACCCAAAATGTGATCATTTCAGATGCAAGTGTTCCAAGTATTCATTCTATTTTAGGGATATTCAGCCAAACCCAATTCTCCTCCTGACCCCATCGAATCTCCAAAATAAACTCCCTTTCCTTATTTGCCCAATTGACATCAAAGAGTCATCTGATTTTACACACAAAATCCTAACTTTTGTCCTCTGTGCATTCTAACAGAGGGAATGTAATTGGCTAGGGCAATCAGAGTATCAGTAACAATCATGGGAAATTAGTATGGGTGAGTTGCAGTATAGTATGAAAACACTTGGAGTTTTGCAATGGCAGGTTATCGTTGGGTCTTGGGGGATAGAATCTCCCCTGTTCATCTGAAGGAAGAAGGGGTTGGTGGAATTCAATTTTGCATGCACTAGTTTTCTATATCTATAAACTCAGTGATCACTTGGAACAATTGACACAGAGGTGTTTTGCAGAGAACTTGGCAATTACCTGCATATAAGGTGCCTCCTTTTGGTTAGACCAGTGTTTCTCGACCTTAGCAGCTTTAAGATGTGTGGACTTCAAGAATTTAAATATTAGAGGAGGTGATAAGCTGCTAAAATTGTTTGGAACTGTCATGACAAAGGGAGAAGTATTTTTTTATATTTCTTTTTTTCCCCTTTTTTCTCTGTATCTCTCCTCCCTTTTTTTATTTTTAATTTTTTCCTTAATTTGCATTCATTTCTTATCTTACTATTTTTAAACTTTAACAAAAAATATTACTTAAAAAGAAAGGTTGAAAAACCCTAGGTTTGACTGATATTTGTAGGGCTTTTATCCCTTCTGCCTCAGTTGAATTTCCTTTCTGTACTATTTGGCTTCTTCCTGACTCACCTTTTCTCTGTAATGGAGTGCACAAGCTACAGTCCATTACCTATAGACTGAATTAGATAATTCAGCCTTTTCTACCATCATGTTATTTCCTAAAGAAAGGTTCTTTATTTTCTTTCACAAGAGTACCAGCCTTACAAATACATGCTTTTTTAAAAAAAAATTATACACCTAATTTTAGTGTTCGTTTCCCTCTTCATTTTTTCAGGTTTACAAAGTTATCTGCTGACCTGGGTGGTTTGGATTGATGTAGTCTTTGTGAGGCTTCACCTGAGTTTTTGGAACTAACAGCAGGACCTAGCAGTTATTGGGGTGGAAGGGTAGCACTTTATGATCAGCAAACTGTGGCCTCTATCTAGAAGTCCCTTTTCCCCAGCAGCAGAAATAACTGCAAGCAGGAATAGGGAGTCTTTTGAAGAGGAAGAAAAGTAAGAAGGAAGCAGTAACAGCCTCTGGGGGAGCCTTGACCTTATCAGGAGGGAAACTTACTTTTCTTGATCAGCTGCATGGGAGTTTTCATCACCCCATATATTAGAGGACTGCAATCTTTGGCAATGACCAGAATAGAATAGAATAGAATAGAATAGAATAGAATAGAATAGAATAGAATAGAATAGAATAGAATAGACCTTGGAAGTCTTCTAGTCCAGCCCCCTGCTCAAGCAGGAGAACCTATACCATCTCAGACAAGTGACTGTCTAGTCTCTTCTTTAAAAACCTCCAGTAATGGAGTGCCCACGATTTCTGAAGGCAAGCTGTTCCACTGGTTAATTGTCCTCACTGTTAGAAAGTTTCTCCTTAATTCCAGGTTGCTTCTCTTTTTGATCAGTTTCCAACCATTGTTTCTTGTCTTGCACTCTGGTGTTTTGGAGAATAGTTTTGACACTCTCTTCTTTGTGGCAGGCCCTCAAATGCTGGAATACTACTATCATATCACCCCTATTTCTTCTTTTTTTTAAGACTAGCCAAATCCAAGTCCTGCAGCCTTTCTTCAAGTGTTTTAGTCTCCAGGCCCTTGATCATTTTAGTTGCTCTTCTCTGAACTTTTTCCAAGGTCTCAACATCATTTTTGTAGTATGGTGACCAAAATTGGTCACAGTATTCTCACTAGAGTTTTATAAAGTGGTACTAACACTTCATGTGATTTTGATTCTATGCCTCTGTTTATATAATCCAGGATTGTATTAGCTTTTTTGGCTTCTGCTGCACACTGCTGGCTCATAGTCAACTGATTGTCTACTAGGACTCCAAGGTCCTTCTCACAGTTGCTGTTTTTGAGCCAGGTCTTGCCTAATCTGGACTTAAACCTTTGATTTTTCCTGCCTAAATGTAAAACTTTGCTTTTCTCCACATTAAAACTCATTTTGTTGGATAGGGCCCATTGTTCACCTTTGTCAAGATCTTTTTGGATCCTGAGCTTGTCTTCTGGGGTGTTGGCTATTTCTGCCAGTTTGGTGTCATCTGCAAATCTGATGAGTTCCCCTTGTATTCCCTCATCTAAGTGATTAATGAAGATATTGAAGAGTACTGGGTCTAAGACGGAGCCTTGTGTTATCCCACTGCCTACTTCTCTCCATGTGGATGTAGTACATTGAGGACTCTTCGCTGAGTATGGTTTGTCAGCCAGCTATAGATCCCACTTTTGCTGTCTATCCCACATTTTTCTAGTTTACTAAGCAGCAAGTTGTGGTCTACTTTATCAAATCCCTTACTGAAGTCTAAGTATACTATGTCCACAGCGTTTCACTGGTCTACTAATTTAGTCACTTTATCAAAGAATGAAAGAAGATTGTTTTGGCATGATCTGTTTTTGTCAAACCTGTGCTGGCTACTGGTTATAACTTTGTTTGCTTCTAGTTGTTCGCAGATCTGTTTTTTGATTATCTTTTTCAAGATCTTCCCAGGTATTGATGTTAGATTGATT